AAAAAATAAAATCTTTATTTTTTTAGTACATTATTTTTACATAATTAATTATAAATAATGCAAAATTGTTATAAAATTTTACATTGCAGTTATTAGACTTTTCATTATTACAGTTGTTAGACCTTTTGTTAAAAAAATACTATATACATTATTTAAATAAAAAAAATTTTTATGTATTCAAGAATATGAAGGATAATTAATTTATAGATAAAGATGCCATAAATAAATAAATGTATTGTTATGGTATTCATAATTAATAACATTGATTTTTAGAATCGAAGTACTCTTTTGGGGGTTGCGAGATTTAAAGAGAATCCATTTACTAACGGTCGACAAGCCGCGCGTGGATGTTGAATGCGCTGGCCACATTCTCTATTCGTCTGTCATAGCAAATGCGAAGAAGAATCCGAATTTCAACACGCCAATTAAATTTCTGGAATTAGAGCTTCCTGAACAGGAACTTTATCGACCGCCATTGACCATAAGAGCGGTGGATTGTCGGAGTTTCGGTAGATATACTCTCGTCGGTACTCACACCATCAATTCAATTCACAAGTACATGTACTATCCTTTAACTAAAAGAGCAAAGGACGCTCAAGAAAGAAAGAAGAGTTTATATCAGTTACAATGCACGGGTAAATACATAATTAATTGATTAATTGCGAGACTTCTTAAAACTGCTATAAAATTGCGACACAAATAGAATTTTAGAATAAACAGAGAATGTAAAATAATATATAATTTAAATATTTATTCAATATTATATTTATAACACAATTAAATTTTATTGGAATAATAATATAATTATATTATTGAAGAATGTAACGAATATTCGTTTTAATTGTAATTTAAAAAAGTAATGCCTTGTTTTGAAATAAATTACATTATATATTATAACGATTTATTGAAATGTTAAAAAAAAATTAAAGTAATAGTTAATAAGTTGTATTAAAAAATAATTTTTTTAGTTATTTGCAGATTACATTTATATTTCTAGAGTTTTAGTTTTAAAACTTTATATGTTTATGCCGCAGCTCTTGATCCATCTAAATCGAAATTCCCACAAACGTCATTATTAGAATCGATGACTGACTTGGAAGCTAATAACGGAGATACCACCATCACTCTTGGATTCGAATTAGGATGTGGTCCTACGAAGAAAGATAAAACGGAGCAAAACTTACGTAGGAAACACAGCTTAGCTAGTGATAACAACATAAGTATGTTCAGAAAAATTGAATTTAATTAAAATGACTAAATGTATTTATTTAATATGTTATAATAACATATAAAACACGGATTTCAACATATTATTTATTGCTTTAATTAATTAAATTACAATAATTTTTTTAATACGATGAACTAATGGTGTAAGTGTATATTTAAATTTATGCATATAAACATCTATATATATATACTGTATCTATATCTATAAAATAAAATTATATTATGCTATTAAGAGAGAAACTAGAAACTTTTGCATTAATGGATAAATTTATTTTCAATTTGTATCCTTATATTAACATTTATCGTGAATTCTTTATTAATTAATATCTAAATTTAAATAATACACGATAAGTAAAGCATCTTTAAAACATGTTATATTTTTAGGCGATTTAAGCGCATTAGAGAACGAAGATGGCTGCCAAGACTGGTGGACAAAGTACTTCGCGTCTGTGGAAGCAATGATTGAGGAGAACAAAGAACTGCGTAAAGAGAAATCCATATTTCACAACCAGCCAAATGGAACGCTGCCAATGCTTCTAGACGAAGCTGTCACGCAAAGTCAGTTGGCTTCCTCAGGCGACAAGAATTCCGGAATTAATTCCACAAAGAAACTGTTTGGTCTGAAATCACCAACAAATGCGGTGAAGTTTGTTTCGAGACTCAGTCCAAAGCAAACTCAACACAAGTACAACAAGACCGCCCTACTGAAGATATATCCAGGAGAACTGGAAGCGCAGCCCGAGTTCGAGCAGTTTAAAGAATGGTTGCATACTTTCGAATTATATCGAGGTAAAAAGACTGGTGACGAGACCGAAGACGAATCAAGGATTGTCGGCAGCTTCAAGGGTGCGCTGAAAGTCTACAAGTGGCCCCTGCCGAAGGATCTAGTAGATCATACTGTAATGGGTTTTGATCCGCAGTACGGATTCTTCCAGGGTGTCCCGTCGAACGAGCCCATCCACGTCCTAGTACGGGTGTACATCGTCAAAGCTAATGATCTTCATCCTTGCGATCTAAATGGAAAAGCAGATCCTTATGTGGTCTTACAATTGGGAGGCAAAAGGATCAGCGATAAAGAGAATTACGTGTCGAAACAATTGAATCCTGTCTTTGGAAAGTATGTTTTCGTGTGTATCATAGCATTACAATGGTCGCATAACTTTTTTGCAATTATAGAGGAATTCGAATAGTACTGAGACTTGGCTTAAACTTTCAGGAAAATTATCTTTCTGTTAAAATTTTGAATTTTAATAAATTATATATGTATACTATTCTTTTCACACAGCAGATTAGAAACTATATTTTTCGCGTATCTTAATATTATATTTTTTTTTTATATTTTTATATTTTGTGCTTTTTTAAGAGAAAATTATGATTTGCAAAAGCATAAACTTTGCAAAAATGCTTCTGATTATTCCTTTAATTTTTTTGTGAATTTTTATACTTAAAAATTGAAACAAGGCCCCTATTTTTGAAAAGTTTCACATACGAAAAATTAAGGAGATGCTATAGCACGCATACTGCAGTATTTCCCTAGTTTTTCGTACGCGATACTTTTCAAGAATAGGGGTCCAGTTTCTGTACATTTTGAATCCAATTAAAAATTTCCTTTCAAGGTGTTTCGAGATCGAAGCAACATTTCCGCAGGACTCTTTGCTGACGGTGCAAGTCCTGGATTGGGATTTGGTCGGAACAGACGATATGATCGGCGAGACCAAGATCGACCTGGAAAACCGCTTCTACAGTAGACATCGAGCTACATGTGGACTCGCGAAGAAATACGACGAGTAAGTTTATATATACGAAGCATTTCTTAGTTGAACCACCAAACTTAAAATATAAATTTTAGAACTCAAAACAAACACAAAAATTACTTCTGAAAATTTACTCGCAAACGAGATATATTGACTTCTTAAGTTACAGAACTATAGGAATGAATATCAAAATAATTTAGGTTTAATCCCTTTATTGCTTTACAGTAATCAAAATGTAATTATTAAATTACATTTATTACTGTGTTATTATTATTTATTATTATCACGTTCAAAATAATAGCTTCCTGCTCTAAGCATTGCGTTGCAATTATCGATGAGAGAACAAGTGGCTAATTAACATTGTGCGTCTGTAATTTCTTCGCACGTTTACAATATCCTCCGTTTCAATAATTGTAGGCTATTAAGAGGCATACACTTTTTGTTTCAAAGTAAACATAATCAGTTCAATAACTTATACTATTGTATAACAAGTCTTTTGAACGAAGTTTTTGCGAATAAACTCAAAATAAAAATCTTTATTTGTTTCATGGTTTCATGGTTCTAAATTTTAGCTTAACAATCTAATCTGGAACGGATCCTGTATAACGAATAGCATATTACAATGACAAATGAAATCTTTTTCAGCAATCAAATAAATCGTGTCACGCAATTCGATAATTTAACAACAGAGCAACTTTATCACATCAGTAGTAATTATTTATCTAAAATTAGCGATTCCATGACTTTTTAATGCTAATAACTAGTTTTTCATCATAATTTCTTTTGTTTAACACGCATTTACGCTAAAACCATTTTCTTAAAAACTACATTATAGACTGTACACTGTATTATAATTATCTATTTGCTAATTTGTAGCTACTATACATTAACACATATCACTTATAGGCTTTGCGTTGTGTGTGTGTGTGTGTGCGCGCGCGCGCGCGCGCGCGCGCGCGCGCGCGCGCGCGCGCGCGCGCGCGCGCGCGTGTGGAAAATATATTTTACCTTCAAGACTAATAAATATATCGAATAATAGAAGCAAAAATGCGAGAACGCAATTTCGATGCACAAAATTGATTAGACGTTGTTTCTGTTTCAGATCTGGCTATAATAAATGGAGAGATGCGATGAAACCGACTCAAATACTCTTGAAACTTTGCAAAGATGGTAAAATCGATGGGCCTATATATTCTCATGGTCGTGTTACAATCGGTAGAAAAACTTTCTCCCTTTCAAACGAGGAGATGGAATTTTATGTCCATACAAAGGGTACGTGAAAAGATCGAAATGCAAGAATACATAATCAATACTTCAGTATTTGAATATATGTTACATATATTGTAAAATGAAAGGTAACTTTGGCCCAGTCGGGATAAGTTTGACCGAAATTTAAAAAAATGCCTACACAACACTAGGATCTAAAATCGGGCTACATAAGATAAAAAAAGTCTTAAGATGTTTTTGAGACGTCTCTTTATGTCAATAGATTTTGATGCTGTCTGGGCAATGTCAAAATATGGGCCAAAGTTATCCTATTCTACAGTATATTTTGATTTATTATACATATGTCTATACAAATATTATTTTATAATTATTTAATTAAATTTTAATTAATTGAAATAGTCCGAAAAAATTAATAATAATTACATAAAGAGAAAATACATATGAAGTATATTTATATAAATAGATAAATTATATAACGTAAAATATAATTTAATTTAATATATTTATTATAAAAGGATTTATGCCGTTTTGACGGTATTGACTTAAACACATAAATCACATAAGATTACTTTCTTTTAGGAATAGAAGAACATCTCGCCTTAGCCGTTCTTCATCAATGGAACGCTTTTCCGCGAATAGGTTGTGCCTTGGTACCTGAGCATGTGGAGACCCGACCTCTCTATAATCCCGAGAAACCAGGTATTGAACAGGGAAAATTGGAAATGTGGGTAGATATGTTTCCAATGGACATGCCCTCGCCGGGACCATCCATCGACATTTCACCGAGAAAGCCCAAGAGCTATGAATTGAGAGTAATCATATGGAATACAGACGACGTCGTCTTGGAAGACGATGCATTCTTCACCGGCGAGAAGATGAGCGACATTTATGTAAAAGGGTAAATACACATTTCTAAGGAAAATAAATTTTTTATCAACGTTTTTTATATATAATTGACTCAAAAGATTAATGTTAATCTTAATTATTATTGATAATAACGAATAAAATGTAAGGTCTCTCAACCACAAAATATTTCTCTTAGTTCTTTTTTTTCTAACAATTTAATTTTCTAACAGTTTAATTAAATGCGCTATTTTGTTCAAAATTTTATTTAATTTTTGATAATAAATAATAAATAATATTGCATATTATTTCAACGTTACTTAACAGATGGCTAAAGGGACCGGAGGATTGTCAATTCACCGATATTCATTATCGGTCATTAACCGGCGAAGGAAACTTTAACTGGCGCTTTACGTTTCCATTCGATTATCTGGTAGCAGAAGAGAAGATCGTTATTAATCGTAAAGAAAGCCTATTTAGCTGGGATGAAACCGAATGTAAAATACCAGCACGCCTAGAATTACAGGTAATGTAATTAACTTACTTTCGATCTCGTTCCGACAGATAAAAATAATGACGCTTTTTGTAGGTCTGGGATGCAGATCATTTCTCAGCAGATGATTTCTTGGGTGCAATAACACTCGATCTCAATCGATTTCCCCGAGGAGCAAAAAATAGTAAGCTCTGCTCGTTAAGCATGCTAAAAACAGACGGATCTGTGCCAACGGTTAACATTTTCAAGCAAAAACGTATAAAGGGATGGTGGCCGTTTTATGTGAAGAAAGAGAATGAAGACATGGAGCTGACGGTAAAAATATATCACTAAGTATAAATATAAAATTTTAAATATATAGGGTGAGCAAAAGTATCAAACCGGCTAAATATCTCGAAAACAAGGCATTTCAGAAAAAAAAATTTCTTATAGTAGTTATAAAGTTTTATCAAATGACAATATCTATCTGATCTTGAATATAAATATGAAAAAGCTTTCAAAATCAGTTAAAAAATTTAAATTGGAATTCCTATTTTTTATTCAATATTCTTATAATTAAGTTCAAATCTTTTTGAAATACCATAATAAAACTTTTTTTAATTAAAAACTCAATTTTGTTGAAAGTCGTCCGTCTTATTTTTATTTTTCATAAATTCAAAAGGTTTTAACTATCGATCCGGCGGTCAGACTCTTATTTATACATAATGCTAGCGATATCTAAATACATCGAAAAGTCTTAAATCAAAAGAAGTTTTATTGTAATGTTTTGAAAAGTTTTTAATGTCCATCATAAGAATATTGAATATTGGATAAAAAGTAAGAATTTCCATTACAAATTTTTAAGTTGACTTTGAGAACGTTTACATACGTGCGTTCAAATTTAAATAGATTTTGCCATTTGATGAAACTCTACAACTTTTATATGAAATTATTTTTTCTCAAATACTTTATTTTCGAAATATTTAGCCGGACCGATATTTTTTACTCAGTATGTTATGTATTTATATAAAAAATAGCAATCTTTTAATTTTTTACTTAAAAATATATTAAATTTGTATTTTTATTAGTATTTTATATTAATTTATATATAAATCGTCAGATATTTATGCTTTATTGCTTTGTACAGGGTAAGGTCGAAGCCGAGATACATTTGCTCACAAAAGAGGAGGCAGAAAAAAATCCTGCTGGTTTTGGCAGAAATGAACCTGATCCACTGGATAAGCCAAAGTCAGTATAATAACACAACAATATCAGTTTCTTCTCTTTTTATGTTTATGACGTTAATTTTTTCATATTTTTAATTCTTTTGTAGTCGACCGGATGCATCCTTCATGTGGTTCCTTAATCCACTAAAGTCCATCAAGTATATAGTTTGGCACAACTATAAATGGGCTATACTGAAAGCCATAATTGCGATTGGATTAATCATACTTCTGCTTTTATTCTTTTATGCAATACCAGGTTATTCTGTGAAAAAGATCTTGGGAGCTTAAATGCTGTTCGTCGCAATGTATAATTGTTATTTTAGAAAACAATTGACGATTTAAAAATGTAGTCACAAATCTATATTGTTACATTACACAATCGACGTAAATTAGCGTTTTATTAGATTAATTTCTCTAATTTGCTCTTAATATTGGCTTGTGAAAATTAGAACTCTTTTTTTATAGTGATAAAATAGAAGTTATAATGGATTTCAATAGAATTAAAAAATATATACAGGGTATTTCTGAGCAACTCATATAAAAATCATAATTAAGAAATACCTTGTTTAAAATACCAAAGTAAATAAAATATTTTTCAAAGAAATAGAAGTCATGTATCTTGCAATTTCATGTTAGGCATGCAAATGTTAGGGCACTAGAAATTATATTTTACGTATGAATGTTGACCATTTTTTAAATGATTCGTATTACTTCGTTCCTGAAGAAGTCTTGATAATTAATGTAATTTTTTTTAACCTTGATCAGTTTATAGTGGACCAAAATAACAAATTAATCAGAATAATTGCAAATTAGGACTACATTGTAAATAATTCAGATTACACACAGTGACCTTAAAAAAATATATTAAAAAATGAGAAAAATATAGCAATTAGCAACATAGTCGCTTGTATAAAATAATATATTTTTACTCGTAAAATATTCTGCATCATAAAGTGCGATCCACTTAACGCTGCAAATGCTTCGTTGAGCAATCAGAAAGAATTTTACGAATTGACCAATCAAAAAATATTTCGAAGCATTTGCAGCGTAAGTGGATCGTACCCATAGTGACGACAGTGTTTCGCGGGCGAAAACACAGGAAAATCATTCTTTATCATCAAATTGCTCATTATATATTAAGAAAAAAATGTGTGTGTAAAAAAAAGAGGTAAATAAAATATCTGAGCAAGATGCAATATAATAAACTATTTTATTAGTCTGCAGATAACAATGAAAATTTATTAACCATAAGCGGTACGTCATTTTCCTCATTTGACGATTCTGTAGATTTATCATTCGCTACACTTATAGAAGATTCCGTCAGTCTTTCGTCGTCACTTTCTTCATCTTCAGAAGACATATCTTCGGTTGGTGTACTGAAATTATCACCTTTATTCCTAGCTTGAATCCATTGTACTGTCTCAACATCTGCGTGATTTTCCCATTTTTCTAAAAAAAAATTTACATTGTTTAAAAATACATGTTATATATAACTGTTTAAACAATTTTTTTCGCAGACAAATAATTTTGCCTGTGTATAAAAGAGAATAAAGTAATACTTTTATCAATAGTCCAATTCGGTGGATATATATACAAACAAATTTTTCCTTCTAACGCCATTCGTAACAATGAATTTGCTGCCCTATATGTATCCAATCTAGCTGCTCGTGCCGTCTTGAAATCTCTTTTAATAGCCCAACCATCGCAGATGTCCATGGCGGACCACGTGTCATCATTCTCTGGATGTGGAATCTTTAATAGTTTCGGTAGATTCACTCTTTCGGCTAGAAATTGTACAACAGTATACGGTTCTCTGACTTGAGCAATCGGGAATGAACCCATTAGTATTTGTAATTCTTTGGGCACGGTCGAAGGAAAGACCAAACCGGGACAATCGCACAAACACACAGTCTTTGTAAGATAAATAGTCTGAAAATGCTTAGTATGACCAGGAGTACGAGACACGCTTACGACTTTCTTGCCTGTAAAATAAAATATTGATGATGAAAACCAAATGACATTATTAAATTTGGAACATAAAAATTTAAGGAATCATTATTTAATTAATCATTTAACAAATGATTAATTATATAATGCAATCGTATAATTAAATAATCTTGCTTTGTTACCCATCAATGCATTCATCAAAGAGGACTTTCCAACATTCGGCGTTCCAATACATCCAATAGTCAGAACTCCATTTTTGTATTTTTCGTGTTCAAAGTAAGTGGTATCCTCCTTCTCAACTGTTATATTATCCTTGTGATTTATGTCATCTAAATCGTATTCGGAATGCATTTCCTCTTGAATCTTCTCATTCCAAGAACTTAGATCGACTTGATCCCCAACAATATCTTTACAAGCCTCCAGCAATTTCTGCGCTCCTTCCGCAGCCATTCTCAATTTTCCCTTGCGACGTATTTTCTTTATACCGTTCTCCTGATTGTTTGTACTATGAAGATTGTAAGTGGGATACGATGTAAACATTAAAATGTGTAATTTTGGATATTGATTATGAAAATATTCTTTCCAAGCCACCACTAACGCTGGAGGTGCTAGATCAACCTTGTTTAATATCAAAATCATATCTTTCTTCAATTTCTTCGTCACATAGTCGTATATATACGGAGGAAACATTAGAACGGGATATCTGATATCGACAATAATTAATAAAATATCTGACATTTCTAAAACCCTCCACAGTTGTCGCCAAGTTTCTAAATTCAATTCAAAGTAACTCGAACTATCTAATTCCTCCATGCTGTCTAAGTAATCCTAAATACAAAGAATTATTAGTCAGTAACATGTTTGGTAAGTTAGAATTTTGTTTAGTATAAAGTCATAATTACATACTTTAAAATATCTCTGTTCTCTCGTCTCCAATTGCTCCTTTGTCATATTAAAATCCCATGGAGGTCGCTTTGGCATATCAATCCCAGGCGGAAAATAATTATCGGAAATTTCTTGATCCTTGAGACTTGCGGGTTCGATACTTTTAAAGGCTCGTTCCTTGCGTTTTTGCAATTTTTCCTTGGACTCTTGAAAGAACTGCAGTGCGTATTTATTTCTCGAAGATTTACTATCTCTTGGTTGTTCATTTATCTTCATCACTTGTCTCTTATCAACGTTGTTTTCACAGCTTTCATCATCATCTGAGTTTACTGTTAATGAAAACATATTTTTGCAACAATAATCCTTCACAAATATTAATAAATTGCTAATAAAATAACTACAAATTGCAATTATATATATATATAATTACAATTTATAGTTATTTTATTAATAATTTATTAATATTTTTAAAATAATGCGACTCAGATAGCATAGATTACACTGATGCTCTATCCGCTTTATTTTTAATTTATTTTTTGTGGCTCACAACGGCTCAAAAATATATAATCATATTTTCCATTTTATGGAAACTATCAAAATAATAACATTATGCGAAACAATTTAACAGTATCATTTAAGATACATATTAAAAGCTTCAAAAATATTTATATTTAAAAATGTAGCTTATATTTCATAAATAAATAACATGTTTTTAGAATAATTGATTTTTAGAAATTAGCTTATTAATATTAATATAAATTGTATGTATAATATATATACATATATACTTATAACTTCTATAATTTTTATCTGTTTACTTTATATACATATTATAATAATATATATGGCAAATTATTTAAGTAACAAAATAAATTATATAAATTAAATAATATTTGTTTTAATATCAATAAAATATCAATATTTTTTTCAATATTATTTGTTTAAACTTATTATAGACAAATAATATTGGGAAAAAATATTAATATTTAAGTTATTTAAAAGACAGCTTATAAAAAGATTTATTACTCAAGGAAAGATTGAAGGCTAAAATCCCATCAACTGTGACAATAATTGCAAAAATCTTTTGAAAAGCCATTATAGTATTAAAACATGAAACAGTAGTATGTACGTTAGTAGAAAAAGTTTTGCAATTGTTATAAAATTCTTTAATAAATTTTTTCACTAAATTTAAACATATTCTTTAAAAGTTTTAGAGTAGAATCTTATTCTAAAGAATGTAAATTGAATCAGCTTGGAAAAAAGTAGTTCAATTTTCAAAGTGAGATTTCAATCTTTAAAACAAAATTCACTGTAAAAGTTTTAGAGGACACTTAAATCAATCATATTAAAGAATCTTACAACAATTACAAAGCTGTTTTTTTTTCTTAACGTAAACACATCACATTTTTATAAACAACCCAGCAAACGAGAATGAATTGAAATGAATTCAAATTTTCAGAAATATTAATTCACGGATGTTAAAATAAATGCTTTTCAATCCTGAATGCATTTTTATTCATTTATAGGAATTCCATGAAGCATATCTCTATGCCTTTCAATCTAACAATAATATTAGCTTTTTCTGTGCATTGTGAATACTGTTCAATTCCAAATTATAAATAGGAAATGCAGTTTTTCAATCCAATTGCATCCAATTGAATCGAATTAAATCCAAAAAAAAGTGTGCGCTATTTAAGATACGCATTCGGATAGAAAAAAATTTTAATTAATTCATTCTTGTTTGCTGGGAAAGAATGTAATAAAGTAATAAATTATAATAAATCTCACTCAAGCAGAAGATTAAAAAAATAGACTTCTTAATAAAACTGTATTAAAATTTTTATAATAAATACACGTACCAAGCAAAGTTCGTTGCCGTTGTTTTTTAGCTTGCATTTGTTGCTTTTTTGCTTTTCCACTGAACGGAACTTTTCTCCTTCCTTGAGGCATATTTTTGCAGTTTCAAGTTCGTTTTCCTTTATCACAGATCTATCACAAACAATTCGTAGTTTATTTATAAAAATTATGTTTAATTCGTCAAAGTTCAGAACCACTGTACGTACACCATTGTACGCCGGCACTTCATTCTTATGACTTGCAGCGTGCCGAAATGCTGAATGAATACTATTGCGAATCCGCGTTGTCCGTATTCTACGAGACGAGGATTTATACACGATGCAGAACAGCTGATCGTTTAACCATTAACGCCATCTGAGACTGTTTTCGGACGAGACCACGCGTACAAGTATATTCGGACGGAATCAGACGGAATTAGCCAAAGTGTGGCCACGTGAAGTATGAAAATTGAAGAAATCGTAACGACTCGACTAGATATGTGTTAGCGTGTGCAGATCATTGTGTATAATAACATTGTTCAAAGCCGTTTCACGAGGTATGCTCTTCCCATTTCTACCGACTTCCCACTTTCCAGCTCCTCGATGTCCCCACTTTTCGTTGCTCCCACTCTTGTATTTCTATTGTATGCACGTTTCTATTGTATATGAAATTTCTCTCGTGCA